TGTTAGCTATTGCTATTGCTGCTGTGATGTATTGCCTAATTTTAATCACACCAGTGTTGGGAAAGTTATTTTCTTACAGTGCCCCATTAGAGTGAAGTTTCTAATCGATGAATTCGACAGCAACATCTTGAATTGACTAAACTGGCCAAGGGGGAAGGTGGTTAGATGGTATCTGAGAGGCCTCCTGGGAGACCATGAGCTTCCCAATGCAGCTGGCCATAACTGTTGTCCTCAAACTCCTGAACAGCAATAGGCAGATACAACCTGACAGCTCCTCCAGCTCCTCCAGCACCTTCAGTTCAGCACCAGGTCTCAGTGGTGCTGTGACTTGTCAGAAGAGCTGAACTGAGACACCACAAATTACCCTGGTCTCAGTTTGAACCAAGGAAACTAAAATCTCACATGGCTTGTGAAACGTCCTGCTCTGTCCTGGGTTCATGCTTCCCATCCTGCTGACTCCCTTCCCGTTACTGCCTGGGTCTGTACTCCCTGCAAAGCCAGTGAGCAGTGCGTGAGGCAGAAATGCAGCTCGTGGGGGTGGTGTTCTGATGGACCTGGGAGATAAAGAGGACATTTCTGAGGATGAGTGCAGAGCCCAGTACTGGGCCATTGAAGCTGGGACTGCTTTTCTCCTGTCTTTGTGTGCCTATCTTTGTAATTATCTGCTCTGGATGCCCTGAGCCATTTTATTACGTACTTCTTCATGATCATGCAGCCCTTGTAGAAGTCTTTAGCATCTCATGTATTTCTGACCCTGTAGCACCAGCAGCAAGCTTTGTCACCTCTTTATTTTCAATTACTGTTCAAGATTATTTCTGACTATGCTGAGGTGAGCAGCCCCTCAGCACAGGTCCCTGTGGGACTCCATTCAAGTCCCACCTCCTGCAGATGTTGATAGCTACTCTTTGAGATCCTTTAACCAGTTATTCCAATATATTCCTACATACAGAATTCAAACCCTATGTTAATCCCACAGTAGCTGCATTTCAGTGACAGAGCTTTTGGGAATCTAGGCAGACTATCCCCCATGCCTATTGACTCCTCGCAGAGGTGTAACAGATTTATGAAGCATTCCTTTATTCAAGGAAAAGCACCCATTTTTTAATTCCCAGGATGTCCGATGTATCCAGCTGTGCACTAATCATATTCTTCATTGCAATTTCTATCAGTTGGCCCAGGAGGGAATCTCAGCCTTCATGGTCTGTAATAACCCCAAACCCTTCCCATTTGTCACCTTGAAGCTCTCAGACACCGAGGCTGCATCAGGCAGTGATTACATGCTACAATTAAGTAATTAGACTGTTTCATCTTGGAGTTCCTGAGCACTCAGGTGAACCGGCTCAGCCTGGGGAATTTGCATTCTTTGCTTTGGCTATTTATTCCTCAACTTCAGCTGATGACACTTGAACAGGAGCCAAAGCCACTGCCATGTCCATATAAAGATGACTTCTGGCGCAGGACCTTCTCTGAGCTTTTCCTCGCTGACTACAGATGCAAACTATTTCTTCTTGTCTGTTCTGACCTTATCTCCTATGAATGCTCCTCTTGCACTGCAGCCAACTTCTGCCCCTCCAGCAGGCTTCCTGTGCTTGATGTGTTTGAAGAAGTATTTATTATTCTTTGCCTTTGGCAGAGTGTTCCTGTGACTGGTTTTGGCTTGCCTTATTTCTCCTTTTTGCACTTAAATTGTCAGGATTCACATTTATTTTCATGTTCAGGCAAAAATGGTATTTCTAAGCATAAAAGTACTGGATCCTTAAAGTCAGAGAATCATCAAGCCTTCTCCTCTCAGGCTGATCTAAACAGGTCTAAGGTTCTGGGTTTTCCACTGGCAGATGTGCAGTTTGATTTGACAGGACGCTGCGATACCGGAGTTTTCAAGTGTGACACCTTTATAGGGACAAAAACGATCACTGGCAGGATTAATTTTGCCTGGACTGGGCTTTGGGATATTGCACCTTCACCAGTAGAAGAAGGGAAGCATTTCTCTGTGTAGCTATGGTTATTTAGGAAGCTGGTTTGGGATGTGCTTCCCATGGATGACGTGAGCCCCACGAGGGGAGGTTTGGGGCTCAGGTGGAGGGTCGGCGCTCCCTGCCTGCCTCCTCGGCTGGTTTGCCTATGTGTGTGTCTGGAAGGCCTGTTGCCATGGAGAAGTGATGGGGAACAGTCTGCCTGGCTCGCCTGGCTTTTTTGTAGCACGAAGCAAAGGCATCTCTCCAGCTGTAATGAGCCAGAGGCCCACAGCCTCCTCTTCTGTGTCACATTAGGCAATGCAGACCCCCAGATACCTGGGAGAAACCCAAAGACAGGGAGGAAGCCCTAAATGAAGGTATGGAAGGAGCAGGGAGCAAGAGAGGACACTGCAGGGAGATTGGCTACTGCTGGTGGGGTGCTACAGAATGATGGAGCGAGGCACTTCTCAGGGGCACGCAGACCAACAGGCAGTGGGCACCTCTTGCAACAAGGGAAATTCCCATTAGATATGTGGAAAAAGTCTTTCACTGTGAGAGAGGTGCAGCCCTGGGGCATGGATTGGAGCAGTGGTGGCATCTCCACCCTTGGAGGTCTTCAAAATCCCCCTGGCCAAGCTCTGAGCAGCCCATGTGCCTTTGAAGTGAGCCATACACTGGGCTGGACCCTCCCCAGCCTCAAAGTGTGAGACCTTGCCAGGGAATTCAAGAGCGGTTGCCCAGAGAAGCTGTGGCTGCCCCATCGCTGGCAGTGTTCAAGGCCAGGTTGGACACAGGGGCTTGGAGCAAGCTGCTCTAGTGGAAGGTGTCCCTGCCTGTGGCAGGGTTGGAGGAGCTTTAAGGTCCCTTCCAACACAAACCACTCTATGGTTCTATGAACAGACAAGAAAGAGTTTGAAAGAGCTCCAAGAGGCACAAATGTGGCAGAGAGTGGTCTGAAAACAGAATGAAGGTGGAGGGATCCGTGCTTTTTAATTTTGGGAATTGACACTGCCAGGCACTGCTTTGTTGGGACTGTAACTGCTGCACGGCTCACGTGCTTTACAGGATTCTTAAGGTGCTCCCTAAAAATAGTCTAACTTTCTGTTTTTAGAAGCTCTTTGGTGACACGACTGTGCAACACAACCCAGGGCAGGGGGATAGGCATGAGAAGTTTAATGTGCCAAGAAATCCAATGCACTGGCACTGGGTTTTGTTTTGTACCTGAGAAATGCCACTGTGAGCAGCTTTGGGGGTTTCCAGGTAGATGTGGTGAGGGTTATGTCAGGGATAGAGTACACAGCTCTGTCAGTTTTTTGTTTGCATGTTCAAAGAATAGCATTTGCCACAAGTGACAAAATATTTAAACATCAAAATAAAGAGCACTTCCCCCCTTTACTTAGTAAAAAAAAGGGGGGGGGAAGCACAGTCAAAGGCTCAGGCTGACCTTATTGTTCAAGTGTTCCCATGCATTTCTCGCCTCCCTGCTCTTGTCTGTGTGTGCACCTCCAGATCGCCGCGTCTCAAGCAGGGTGAAGTCTTTGTTTTGCACGCATGGCACTTTGTGCACTCCCAGCCTGGCTGTAAGCGAAGATACGTTTCTGAAAGGTTGTTATTCACCATGAATTCTCCAGTGGCCGATACAGTTCCAGCCGATGAGGTATTTGCATCCCGCTCCTTGCGTCCACACGCACCAGGGCAGCTGGGTCTGTTACCCATCCTTTTTTATGCTCTCTACATGGATTACTGTGCTTTTCAATTTGTAGATTAACAGACCTAAGAGATTTAATTTGTTCAAATCCTCACGTGTTTTCTTGCAGGTTTGACTTTGGAGAGAAAGGACTGAAGCTGTTCCCAAACTTTGGGTCTCTTCCACGCAGGGTCTCTGAAGGACAGTGACACATGAGCTTACACTACATATAGCCTTTCCTAAGGCACAGACAGGACATGGTGTCTGCTTGGCTGTCACTGCCTCCTTCCCTGCCTCTTTCCTCAAAGCCTGGAGGAAGTTTATCCACAAAACTTCTGCCCTTCTGTCAAACATTGCTGAATGTCTTGGCTTGGAATTCCTGGGATTCATGTGCTCTCTTGCAGAGCCAGTGGATACGGAGTGCTTGTTCCCTGTAGATTGTGAACATCGTATGAAACCTTGCTGCTGCCACCCAGGTGCCTCAAAAGCAGATTTATAAAGTACTTTCCCAAACCCAGGATATCAAACCCTACCTCCATGACACTGATGTCAGGGCTGGAACCCCTCTGCTGTGAAGACAGGCTGAAGGCACTGGGATTGTTCAGATGGAGAAGAGGAGGCTCTGGGGAGACGCTCCTGTAGCCTGTCAAAGGAGATTTATAAGAAAGGCGGAGAAAGGCCTGGACAAGCGGAATGGCTTTAACCTGCCAGAGGGGAGACTGAGATGAGCTCTGAGGCAGAAGCTCTTCCCTGTGAGGGTGCTGAGGCGCTGGCACAGGGTGCCCAGAGAAGCTGTGGCTGCCCCATCCCTGGCAGTGTTCAAGGCCAGGTTGGACACAGGGGCTTGGAGCAAGCTGCTCTAGTGGAAGGTGTCCCTGCCCGTGGCAGGGGTTGGAACTGGATGAATTTTAAGGTCCCTTCCAGCCCAAGCAGTTCTGATTCTACAAACCGAAGCCCCTCTAAGGCCTGGCTGACGGAGCGGCCGAGCAGCATTTGGTGACCCCAAGGAAGGCGCTTGCTCTGGGAGGTGACACCATGGACGAAGCAGCTCATGGACAAACCGGAGGCGGACAACACCCTTTAGAGCCGCCGGTTCCCAACCTGCCGGCCAGATCCCTTCAGCCGTGCCCGGTAACCGCGCCGCCCGCGGGCTGCGGAACCCGCCCTTTCCCGGGGTGGCCGCCGCGTCCCCTCAGGCGGGGCCGCCATGATGTCAGCGGGGGGAGGCGGGAGCCGCCGGCCAAATATAGCGGCGCTTCCTGGGCGGGGGGCGGTGCTCGGTACCGGCCTCCTGCCGCAGTCAATGAGCCGGTGGCGGCCGCGGCGGAGCGCGGCATCGGCCGGGGGCAGCGCGGAGGAGCGGGACGGGGCGGGGGTGCCGCGGCATGGCGGGGCGCTGAGGGAGCGCGGCAGCGAGCGGCGGCGGGCGCCGGCACCCGGCCCCAGCGCGGCATGGGCAGCCGCGGGGTCCTGCGATGAGCGCTCCCCCGGCGGCTCCTCCCCGCGCGAATATGGGCACAGCCGTGTCCAAAAGGAAGACGCTGAGGAACGAGGCCATGTCGTCGGTGGCGGCTAAAGTGAGGTGGGTGCCGGGGACCCGGCGAGCTGGAGGGGGGGAAGGCCCCGAGCCCCGGCGGGCGGCAGCGGGCGCGACCCCGGCGCTTGTCCAGCGGGGCAGAGAGCTCAGCCCCCGGGGCTGGGAGAGCTCGGAGGGAGCCTGTGCCCGCGGGACGCCGCCGGTGCCCCCTCGATGGCTGCTGCGGTGCCCCCCGAAAGCAGCCGCCCGCCCGCTCGCCGGTGGCTGCGGGACCGCGGTTCCCCGCGCTCGGCGGACCCTCAGCCTCCGGAGGGTGCTTTGTCTCCAGAGGTATCCCCGCTTCTCGCTGCCGGCCCGGCCGTCACCCCCGGCAGCTTCGACTTGCTCGTGGGGGCAAGGAGCGGGTCACAAGCGGATTTGTCAGGGCTGGATCTTTCCAATGTTGGGGAACCGGGAGCGCGGTCAGTTTGCTCGGTGGCTCCTCACCAGCTGGAATGCCATCTGTGTGTGTGTGTCCGAGGGCAAAGTCAGCCGCTGGCTGCAAGGGAGCTTGATCCTTTGAATGGAAAACGTACAGCGTGCAAACCCGGAGCCAGCACACCTGCCCTCGCCGGCAGTGTCCCAGGCCGCTGTATTAGCCAGTTAAAAGGTTTGGGCTCTATATCGTTACCGTACCTGTTAATTTGTATATTGCTTGTCCTACAGTGTGGCATTTCGTTACTGCCAGGTCCCAGTGATTTTAGTCTCAAACATGGGAGACGCTCTAAGCCGTGTTTGCTGCTGGGTTGTGCTGAGGTTTAAAGCCATCGCTGATGAGCTTTGCCACGGTGCCCTTTGCCTAGCAGGGTGGACCCGAGCCTTCTCCCCCGCTGCAGTGCAAGTGTCACAGCCGTCAGCGGGGACTGTGTGGGGGCACTGGCGCAGGTTCCCAGCAGCACAGCCATGCACAGGGGTAGGTCTGGCAGCTCCTCTCTTAGATGTGGAGTAGCTCCTTGGTAGCCCGATAAAAATGGGAGGAAATAAACTTTTCAGCTGCATTATGTAACGTCTCCTTTGTGTGAGACAGAATTGCGTTAGAATAACCCGGAGTCGTGTGTAGGACTCGATCCGTGCTGCTGAGGGATCTCAGTCACCTCTCTGTGACTGTAACTTGGCATTACGGCATCTCTGCCATGCCGGGAGGAGACACGGTCTTGTGGCTGAAAGCGGAGAGATCCAAAGGTGTTTATATATTGCTGTCTGTGTTGTAAAGAAATCCATCCTTCAAAGTCTGGAGTGACCCTGGAGGAAGCTGTCTGGGTAGAGCCTGGAACTTTTCCCCACTTCATGGTGCACCCTGTTCATAACCAGTACCGAAAACGTGAGTGCTTGCAATGGTGTTCAGAGATCTGGAAGTGGGATTCCTTTTGGGAGATGTCAGCCAGGTGGATATATAGAAATGACACAAAATGCACCATAACTGTTGTAATGGGGTGCTGGGAACAGGATTAGACAGCCAGTCACACACAACCATCATCCTGGGTAATCGCCAGCATTTCCAACGGGAGTGTGGGTGTTGGGAGCGACTAATGTGTTTTGAATGCAATGATTTGTTAGCCTACACCAGGATGGGCAGATGCTACGCAAGTAGTATTAGCTGTGTAGAGTTCAGGAGGTGCCTCTGGGGTTCTGGTTTGCTACATACCTGCTGTAACTGCTACCAGGCTGCTGCTTCTGTATGCGGGTGCTCCAAAGTGTCTCGGTGGTGTGAATTGTGGTGGTTTGACCAGAACAGTTAGCTGAGTGGACTTGGGCTCAGAAACATAAAGTCCTTGAGGAGCATCTGGTCACATAGTGTGTGGCACAGGAGAGGTGCTTTTATGTGTCTCCCCATTCATGCCCTGTGTTAGAAATGCCTAATCAAAAAAGCCTTTGGGGAGGACAGAGGACTGCTCCCTGCAGTGCCTCTGTGCACAGAGAAGGTGCTGGTGGGGACAGGCACTGCCGGTGTGCCTCCACCCTGCCCCTCCAGGCACAGCTCAGTCCCTGCCTCGTGTGGTCTCAGCTACCCTTGGCATCATTCACAGCAGTGATGATCTGCTGAAAGGTTCCTCCTGGAGCACATCACACACAGCTCCTCTGCTCTGCCTCGTGTCCACCTTCAGGTATCCCTCGTGTCCTTATCTTCCTTCCCTACAGTGAGGATTCTGCAGCGTGCAGTAGAGAAAGCTACAGAGAGAGCCTATTCTGTCCTTCCCAAGGGGGCTGGGGACTTGGATCCCTGTGTGGGTAGCACTGCTGTCATGATCAGGTCCCCGGTGGTTTTGTGTAGGCAGCTATGGGATCCTGATCTCATGCTGCAGGAGATGCCCTGGGATTGTCTCTCTGCACCTCCTGAGCTCTGCCCTGTTCATATTTCTCCTGACTTTTCATTTAGAGAGAAAAATCATCTCCTGAAACTCACTGCAAGTCCAAGTGGCCACTAATGTGTATTTATTATGCATGGCCGGAGCATGCATGTGCATTTGATTGTCTTCCTGAGCAGAGAGCATCATTTGTTTGCTATCATGGGTAGTGTGAGCTAAGCAGAAGGGGCAAGCTCCCTAGATTCTTAAACTAAAATCTCTGCAGAGCAACTCAGGGGAGGCTCCTGTCCCAGGAGAAGCAATTAAGCTCCATGCAGTTTGTTGTGTGCTGGGTCTTTTAAACAGCCTCTCAAAACTAACGGCATAGTTGCTGTGTGCTAACATTGTGGAGAGCATCCACGATGCTTCCAGCTTTGGTCTCTGTAGTCTTGTCTTCTGCTGGGAGAGCTGCAGTGAACTGTGTATGGCACCAGGAAAGGACTGTGGCTCCGTGCTCTTGCTCTGATCACATCTCAAGTGCTTGGATGTGAGATCTTGCTGTGCCTCCTTCCTATCTGTGCTGGTTTTGCCTTGCAGCTCCTAGGGCAGGGATGGCGCAGTTGTCCTTGAGCTGTGACCTTGGTGCTGCCCCTCTGCTGACAGTCCCAGGCTGCTGCAGGTTTGGGCTGGTGCAGGTTCTCTTCAGGCTCCTGGCCTGTGTGGTGCCTGATACACACTCCCTGGCTTCCTTAGCACACTTTGAAGGGCGTAGATTAACCAAAACCATTAGAAATGGGCTCTCTTTGTCCTTGCTGCCTTGACGCCTACAGAAAATACTGGCACCCCAGCTGTGGCTAAAGTCTGTCTTCTCCTGCAGCCCTGCTTTGCGTTTTGCTGCCCTATGGCTTTTCTTTGGGAGCAGACGGACATGAGACTTGTGTTCACGTGTTCCAGAACCATCTCTCTGTGCTATAGTTAGCACAGGGAATATTGGATTTGAAAGCATGGTTCATCCTGCCCATTTCCAGGGCTTTGGTGTCTAGTCCAAGGTACCCCACAGAGAGATGAGAATTTGGTCTCACTCCTTCCCTGTGGACTAGAGAGTGGATTTAAACAAGGGCCACCAAGTGTTAGTTGCTGTGAAAGGGTAAATCTTGCACTGGCAAGTGCTGAGGTACTTCAATGCGTTCCTTATTCCAGGTTTCTTGCTGCATGAGCAATTTTGGTCTTAGGCTGGGGTTCTTCCTGGAGGCTGGATTCCTTTTTCCACTTCAGTTTTCCTGTGAGTGGTTTGAACTCTTATGCTTGGGTTACCTTCTTTTAATTTCTGCTGGCTCCATCCTCTCTCCTCCTGTCCAAGATTTGAGTAGAAATTCGCCCAGAAGTGTGGGGTCTTTGACTTGAAGGTCCATTGCTGACATCAGATTTCCCTTTCTTGAGAGCGAGAATTTGCAGTTCTAACATTTAAACAATTTTTTCCAGCTACCATCTCCCTGCACAGATATTTCAGACAACTGGTTTTTGTCAGGGTATTCTTACTATCAGGTTTAAACAACGTAGGTGTCAGCAGTCTTTAGTGATGGACCTGGTACCTGTGGATGTGCTGGCAGTGTTCCCATCCCTGCTTAGTGACAAGGGAGGATTGCTGCTGTAGGAGGACGTAGGTCCTGATGATGCAGGAGGTCTTTTCTCTCCTGGTTTCCTGAGGTGCAGCACTGTCAGATGCTGTCACAACAGATTCCTGCTGCAGCTCCTCTGGGCATTGCTTCGGAAGGAGCACAAGAAGGTGGTGGGTGTTCTTTATTTTTCCATACAGTGCTGCTGAACAGTCCAGGTTTTGCTTACCTTGCTGCTCTGCTCTAAATGGAGTTATCTCAGGTCTTTCCTGGATCTCTATTTCAGTACTCATTTCTTCACTTGGTTCAGTGTCAGTTTGGTGGATTGCATGTATTTGCATCAGTTTCTTGTAGCTGCTAGTAGGCATTGAGGCCCCTTTTATCCTGCTGATGTGATTGTTTCAGACACATGATGGCTATTCCATGCTCATCACACTGTCACTGAGATCTTACTTAGCAGCTTCCTTCCTTCTAGTGAAGTCTCAGCCAACTTCTCTTTCAGACCTGAGTCCAGCTTTGACATCTAATGCCCAGTGAGTACTGAGGAGTGCCCTCAGAAGGGCAGCTGCCTGTGCTCCCATCCCACCCTCCGCTTTCCTGAAGCCATGCTGGTGGAGAAGCTGGTAGTGTTTTCTCTGAGGCACCAGCAGTGCTGTCTTCACCGGTTAGACCCCATAGCACAGCATACTGAGGCTGTGGTGCCTGCTTGACATCCTTTTGTTAAATCCGGCCGTGCTGACTGTGTAACGTGCAGATCTGATCTGCCACTAAAATGAATCCCTCTCTCTAGATGAGTCAGGGCTAAACTTGTCACGTTGTCAGCTGATTGCTCTTGGTCCTACCTGCTCATTGGTATGCAGCTCTTGCAGTGTCATACACTCAGGGTTATAGCTCATCTGCCCCTGTATGTGTGAGGCATCTTGTACTTCATCACGTTTATGTGAAACAAGGCTTTGTTTTTTAATCTCTTGCCAGTTGAATTATCCTGATGTGTCTCTGCTCTGAGAGCACTTGAAGCATTTTCTGCCAAGTGTCATCAGATCACTTGGTGGGACTTAAACTGTGAGAGTGGAGACAAAACTGAGCTGGGAGTTTTGTGACTTGTATTAACAGTGTGTTGTAAGAAATAGGAAAGAATGGGATGAATAGAGCACTGCCATCTGTTTGCCTTTGGCTCTGGCTCTATTTTGATCAAGTTAGTGGCTACCAAGGAGAAGGGGTGAATGGCACGATAACAATATGGGCAGATGCTGGTAAACTGGGGTGACTGTGAGCACAGTGAGGGAGGAGAAGGGACACGAAAGGCTTGGCAAGGGGAGACCAGGCATAAGGAGTTAGCATGGCCAGCAGAGTCCCCTTGGCAAAGGGCATGCATGGACATCTGTGGGAGATGAGCTGAGGCCCAGCCAAGGAGAAGCCGATGGCACTGAGGAAGCAGGAATGTAGAAGGGAACCACTGAGATAACAGGCAGAAATTTAGCCTGAGTTTGCAGTGTAATTGGCTGGAAAACCCCGGTGGCACCTTGTGCTATGTAGGCCTCATTGCCTTATTAGCTGTCACTGGATAACTGAGATCAAGTGTTCACATTCATTTGCTCTTGGCTTGCCCTGCAGCGTTGGAGAGCAGTGGAAGTGGCAGTGACGCAACTGCAAGTCCAGCCTGGGCAGGCAGCAGTGGCTTTGAGTGGTTCTGTGCTCTGCCACTGTGCTTCTGCCTGCAAGGAGAGGTCTGGGTATCCCCTGGGCTCTGGGAGCTCTGGTTTACCCTCCTACCTCATCTGCTTGGGGCAACGGGAGCGTGAGGTTGCAGACACTGCAGCACCTCTGAACTCAGGCTCTCATTCTGATTGACACTGTCTTCACTATGGAGCAAGGTGGGGTGGAGGGTGGCAGTGCTTCTCTCTGGCTCCATGTTAGCTCTTTGCACTTTGGGTCTTAGGAAGCGCTTGGTACTAGTTTTTGAGCCTGTGGTTTGCAAGCTAAGGGCAAACACTGGTTCTGGTTTGAGGCAGACAGATCAGCTTCAGGCATTGGCAGAGATGAATCGAGAGAATGACAGCTGAGCTAACATGCTCTTGGAGCTTTTGAAGTAGTTAGACTATTTTATCATCGTATTTCAGTATTCTTTGTGTAAATCTCCATGTTCTCTCCCTGATAATTTACCCGAGAACTTTCTCACTGTTATTTTCTCTACATGGAATGGCTGCTGATGGACAGAGAAGCTTCAAAGTCTTTCCCAGTGGTGTAAGTGCCCTGTTTGTGAATGGTTTTGATGATGACTTGCAAGGACAGATGTTTCTATGGGAAGCCTTGGAGTCCCAGCAGCGTTGGTGGAAGAGATATTGGAAGTCTTGGGAGCAGCCATCCGCTCACAAGGCTGTTGCCAGTGCAGTGTGAGATCAGCCGTGGCTTTGGATGAGCCTTTAACCACCTCTAAGGTAGAGTGGAGGAGTAGCTCAGGAGTGCTCTTACAGCTGCATAGCCTGATGTTAGAACCATAGGATCATATAATTATTTAGGTTGGAAAAGATCCTAAAGATCAACAACCTAAATGCTGCCAAGCCCACCACTAAGCCATGTCCCTAAGCACCACATCTACACCTCCAGGCATGGTGACTCGTCCACTTTCGTGAAGATGCCACACTCCAGCTCCCAACTTTACCCTTGTGTGTTGCCCCAGGACCAAGTCCTCCTTTTTGCCCAGGCAGAAAGGTGGTGGGTGAAGGAACATCCATGAGGTGCTTGTCCTCCTGGACGGGTGAGCCGTGATGGTCATCCCTTTGTTCTTTGTAGTGAAGATTGTGTGCCAGTTGTACAGCTCCCTCATGTGACAGAGCCCCTGTGTGACCATCTCTGGGGTTGCTTAGGCACCGAGGAAGACAGCTGGGGCAACTCCTACCCCAGTGTCTAAAGGCACAACCTAGTACTGGACAGGCAAGAATGCACAAACAGCAAAGCCTTGGTTCTGTGTGTTAGCCTGTCACGACACAGCAGGTTGAACCCAGCACAGCACAGCAGGTTGAACCTGTCACGACACAGCAGGTTGAACCTGTCACGACACAGCAGGTTGAACCTGTCACAACACAGCAGGTTGAACCTGTCATGACACAGCAGGTTGAACCTTGCTTCTCACACAGCTCCAACTGTGCTGCTCCAGAGCGTTTTGCATTTGGCTGTGCTGAAATTTAGTCCCTGGGAGATTAAATCACTTCATCGTTCATATTGATCCCTTGTTGTTGGCTGTGGATGACAAATGGACTTCCCACTCCTTCCAGCCCTCGTTGCTCTGGGAGGTACGTTGTAGCTTAGTTAATCTTTTCCTGTTGGGAGGAGGCGTGTAAAAGCAGTGGGGGGAAATCCTGGTGACACAAATTGGGATATGCTGCTGGATTGGGTAACAAAACGGAAGAGGATCGCGGGAGGCTGTGTTGGAGGTCAAAGCCATTTTCCACTTGGATGTTTTCTAGCTGTTATGAGCATAGCCTGGTGTGGAAGCTTGAGCTGGAGAGGGATGTTCTGAAGTTGAGCACCTCTGAAGGAGGAGGATGGTGGACGTGATGCCTTGCTATGTCTTCCGCTGTTGCAGTGTCTTTGTCTCCTCTCCCAGCAGATGCTGGTGTGCTTGAAGGCTGAGTGCCTGGCTGCTGGCTTTTGTTGGCTTGGCTTGCCAGGGAGGTCGGTGGCTGGTTTGTCTCCTGGGTTGTCCATGGGCAAATATCACCCTGCTTGTGGTGCTGCTGACCTTGGGGTGATTGTTCTAAAACCTGGGGAAATGGATGGCTGGATAAAAGCTGGTATTGACTCTCAAATCACAGGTCTGTTTGGGTGCAGGAGAACAAGCACAGCAGCAAATGCCCTGCAGTAGGACCCTGAAGATTGTATTTACTGTAGAGCAGGGAATGCATGCCTTGACCAAGGATGCCTTTCCTGTGTGGGTTGCAAGCTTTTTCCTGGCTGGAATATTCATAGGTTTGCTCTCTGACGTAGGCCCTGATGTGTGATAAGGGTTGCGCTCACCCTGCCTGGTTGATGCTTAATATATTGCAGTCAGCTTCCAGTCATCCATGGGACCTGAATCCATCAGAGAGCCAAGGATGGCTTTTGTGGGGTGTTGTGGGGCCTCTCAAATCAAGTATCCAAATGCTGACATAGTTGGTGCTTGAGCACTTAGGGTTAAGGTAGGTAAAACGGGTATTGGTAGTAACATCTAAGTTGTGATGGCTCACAGATAGGAGTATTCAGAACCAGAGTAGAAGGCTGGGGTGATGGATGGGGCTGGGCTGGAGATACCTTCTTCCTTGGGCTGCCAGAAGGGGTTTAGCCTATGTGTATCACAGAAACAAGGCCAAGTTTAATGCAGGTGCATTTCAATGGTTCATAGAGAAGCTGAAGACTGAAATAGTCCTGGGCTTGTGGTTACCCTTTTGGTGTGTTTACCAGGAAGCCCCCCCTGCTATTACACCATGTTTAAATTGGTGTCATCAGAAGCTGAAAGGCTGTTGCAGGAGAACAGCGGTATTGATATTGAACTGTTCCTTCTTTCCTTGGCCTTTAACCAATATTAATCTCTTTCTTTTTTACTGCCTTCTGGGATGCTTGGACGTGCAGAGCAGCAAGGGCTTTTGGAGAATATCTTTCCCAAAACCATCCCGAAGGTAGAAACGGCTCAGGTAAGAGAACTGACATTGCTTATATCCTTATGTGCTTGCACCTATTTATTAATAGGCCTTCAAATGAAAGTGCATTTATTCATCGTAAAGGGTTAGTGTGAGATCTCAGCAGGAGGAGTCACCCTCTAAATCAGTGAAGCCCTTGAGGAGAAAACGCAGTTTGGTGACTCAAAGGTTGGGTGGGCTGTGGGAAAAAGTTCACCTGTAGTGAACAAGTGTCCTGTCATAAATCCACCCCTACAGCTGATGTCCTTGGAAGGCGTTTCAGCTGGGAAGGGAAAGACTGCACTGCACAAGGCATCTGCGCTGCTTTGTCACTTCTAGGTCTTGCTTTCACTGGGGAATAAAAGTAGGTGAGTTATAGTGTCAGCTGAGGTGCTTGGGGTGTGTGCAGCAACCTTTGCTGGCAAAGGTAACATCTGGATTTATTCTAGGGTTTGCTTCAGCAGGGGTTAAAATGAGATTTGCCCTGTCTGGTTGAGGACACCAGCATGTGCCAGCTAATGTGTTAATATTTTATACACAGGTATTGTCCCTATCAGCTTATGCTGAGTTCTGCTTGATGGGCAAGAGAGCACAAGAGAAACTCAGTTGACTTCTAACAGGCCTGTGCCTGGTCTGTGAGGAAAGAAAACATTTTGCAGACAATAAATTCACTATAAAACCTATAGAAAATCCCATAGAACCCACATAAAACCATGTGTGAACAAGTAGCAAGCAGATTGTTCCCTAGCACTGAACTGTTTTGCCAGGGGTAACAGTTTTAGATAGAACATAATTTAGAGTGATGTTACCATTTAATGTAAATTGTGTGTGTGCTTAAACCTCTGCAGGCAGGGAATGCCTCTCCCTGAGAGAGCAAGCCCAGTCCCACCTGCCTTTGGCAGGCAGCTGAATGAGTCCCCGCCTTTTCTCTTGGATCTAATGACCTTCAAGTTATCCTTGGCTGGGTTGTGCTGCCTTTGGGAATGGAGGGGCTTTCAAACAACGTACTGCAGTTTTCCTTGATTTTCTTTCAGACATAAGAACTCCAGTGACACATTACTTCCAATAAGAACAACCCATCGTGGTAGGAAGGGAAGGGTAGAAAAAGGCTCAGGTTTAATGCAGTGGAGGTGAGGTGCCTGAGGCAGAGGGGGGAAAGGGGTTGGACAGGCAGTGCAGGACAGGCTGGGCAGGTCCCAGGAGGCCAGGCAGAAGTGTTCTTTATCATGGCCATTTCTGTAGCTGCTTCTAGCAGTTGAAGCCTTTGCTGGTGCTTTTCTGCACACCCCCACCCCAGGTGCCAGGAAGAAATTTCATTCTTCCCTGTGAGGGTGCTGAGGTCCTGGCAAAGGGTACCCAGAGAAGCTGTGGCTTCCCCATCCCTGGCAGTGTTCAAGGCCTGAGATCTGTGGAACCCTGGTCAAAGCCAAGGAGTAGGACCCTCTCTTATGCACACTTACACAGCTGACCTTCTACTCATCCTTATGGTTGCTCCTAGTTGCTTGTTCCTCTCTTGACTGTAGATAAGGAGGACATGGGAGTGGAGCTAATGTGACTCCTGGATAATGCACTAGTGTGGGTTCCCCTGACCAGTGCTTAAACCCACTCTGTGCTCGTACCCACTGCCCCCTGGTGTATCAGGCTAGAGATCATACTTCAAGTGAATTTAGTTGCTATGGATAAGAATCAAGCAGCGAGCGGTACACGTGGAATACACAGTCCTTAAGTATTGCCTTGGAAATAAAGTTTCCTAGAGATTACTGTAAATGTTTAAAGAGGAAAAAATAAGAATCCTCATTATTTAAGTCATCTTTTGCAGTCCTGCAGTGTATCGTTTAACCCACTCTGTAGCATTCCTTTATAAATAACTGGTAGGAAGGTTGCTGTCCTATAAAAATGTTTAGAAAATCTGTCTCCCTCTTATCCATGCCAGGAGTCCAATAGCAGGGGAACCAACTCTTTCCTTCCTCAGAAGTTCTGTATCTCAGTATGGCTTTCACAAGCTTCTGAACACTTCACCTTTGGCTCAGCAGAGCGCTTAAGCTATAGCTTTCATCCAGTGCCTGCAGTGAAACCAAGGAAGAGCCTCTTCTACGTGACTTGAAGACATAGGACATACATAGACGTACCTGAATCTGCTCCAATTCATCAGAGAGCAGGAGAGCAGTGTTAGGGCTCTACCAGCCCACCAATATCCTGTAGTTAGATTCCTCCTGGCATGTGTTGGTGGCTGAGGTCCAAGCTCAGCACACCGAGGAGCTGATTCCTCAGTGCACGTACATCTCTGTTCACAGCACTCTGGGCTTTCACTAGGGGCATCTTTACCTGGTGGGATGGGCTGGTTTCCACTGTAATAACCCTGTCTACATGGATGCTCCCTGCACTGCCAGGAGACTGCGGCTGCGGTTAAGGCTCTAACCTAAATGTGGTTGGAAGGAGGCAGGCCTTGAGTTCAGGAGTTTATAGTCAAGAAATAAAAAGGTCTAAGAAAGGCTTAAAGTCATTGATGAATGCAGTGAGGGAAAAGGGTTGTGGTCTTTGAGGAGCAGGAAGTTGGCAGAGCCATCAGTGGGACAGTGGAAGCCTAAAAAGCTCCTCTTCTGCGGATCCAAGGAGCTGGAACCCTGCTCTCTCTCTGCAGATGACAATCCTCTTGCAGAGAATGAGAGGAATGTAAATCTTTGGGGTGCCAGTTCTGCTGCTGCTTTACCTGCTAATTTACCTCCATGGCAGAAGGGTGGAGAGCTGGAACTCCCCAGGCAGACACAGCAGGCACTGTCAGATGGAGTCCCGTGTGTGCAGAGACTGCCTCAACTTCCTCCACTTCTGCTGCACTTTGCTCTCTGAGGTTCATCCATTTTGGTTCGACTCTTTTTGTCTTTAGAGTCTCCTGACTCCCAGGAAAGGAGATGCTTGACAGCTTTTGCATCCCCCCTCTTCACGTTCCACAGCTGATCAAAGAGCTATTCTTCGGTGGTAACTTTTACACCTCAGTCTATTTTCGGTGGCTCCTCTGGAGAGCCTGTGTGAGTGTGTGCGTCAGAATGTCTTTGAGATATTGGTGAAGAAGAACTACAGAGGGATTATGCACCAGCAGGATGGGCCAGCTGCCATGTCCGAGCGCTATAATGAGGGTGAGCTATCTGCAAGGCTTTGTTCACCTTCTGCTTTCAATAAAATCACAGTCTGTCCATGTTCCACTCCCTTTGCTAAGGCAGTGGCTGTGGAACTGAGCATCACCAGGGGGTAAGGAGGATTGCAGCATACTATGGGGTGTACACATAGTAAGGAAAAGGTGAGGAGAGTATTTGTTGTTGGTTACAACTTCTGATTCTTCCTAACGTGAGGCCTGAGAACTTCATGGCTGAGAAACACCGTGCCTATGCCTATGCAACTCCTCGATGGCTTGTTCTGGAGGAGGTTTTCCAGGCGACTGGGGAGTCCATTTACCTCTCCTCTGTTGCTTGGCTCGCAGTGCACTGACCATGTTCTCTGAGGTTGCAGCAGGGATGACAGCAATACACATTTGTCTCTCTTTGCTTCCCTTCCCCAGCTGCCTGCTGACAGGGTATGAGTTGCTGGCAGAGGATGAAGGAATTGTACTTTTGGCATCACTCAGATTTTTTCTCCTGATCTTTAAAATATTCTGAGGAACTAGAAAAAAGGGAGGGTTGGACTCTGCTGCTGCCAGGACATGGATCTGTTAAGGGAGCTGGTGCTGAGGTGGTAATGCATCTCCTCCTCTTTTCCTGCTTCCATTCATGCTGGCTTATTCGTGTAGGCTTGAAGGTCTGGGAAGGTTCCCAAGAAGAGCACTCTCATGTTCAGCGTTCATTCTGACTGCAGTGCTGCTGCCAGAGTCCTCGCTGACCCTCACAGCTTTCTGGTACTTTCCAAAGACTTTCCATCTTCTCTGTGGCATGGTTGTAGTGTAAGGGTGGGTGTCCCCTGGGACAGACCCAGAAGAAAGACAGGGAAAAGGGTTGACAGTTGCAAAAGGGAAGTGTAAGAAGGCTGCAGAGAGCAAAATACAAACATAGAAGAAATAATCACTCCAAGTCCCACCAGAGCTCACGGGATGAGGAGTTTTGGACATTCCCAGAGTCCCCTTCTTACAGCATAGGTGTCAGGGCCCCCACACTGAGATACTGCTTTAGATTTCTTTATCTCCATGTACTGGAAGTGTGAGAGGAAAAAAGATACCCAGAGCATGGGGCAGTGAAACGAGCAATAACAGCAAGCAGAGCACTTGAGAAACTTCCACCTATCAGGAGAAGCAGTGATGCATTCGGTGAGATGGGGTTCAGCACAAGGGTCCTTCACTGAGGAAAGGAAGGGAGCTGTACTGGGGCTTTTCCCTGATGCTTTTTTATCAGGCAGTTTTTGTTCTGTTTGCCTGGGCTATTTGGAGGGCAGCTGATGCTGCAGTGCTGGGGTTGCTGCTGTAGGATGTAGCACTGTTCTGCCCGCTGCAGGCTGGGGCTCTGAGCGACCTGCATGTGAAAGGCTGTGAAAGCAAAAGGAAGGGAAAGATCCCAGCAAGTATAAGGTGTGCTTGGTGCTGCAGAGATGATGGGCCTTGGGCCAGAGCTGCCCGGCAGGTCTTGACCTAAATTCACTGTGGTTCTTGCAGAATCAGCACGGCTGCTCTGACTGGTTTGCATCAGTGCAGACCAAAGGGGATAGTTACCTGTAACTGGAAGAAGCTCAAAAGAAGTCTGCTGCTTTTCTTTGGTTTTGCATGATGTTTCAGCCGTCAGTGAAAACACTGGGTGCAGAATGAGCATTCCTGAGCTTCCCCAAGCCAAATAGCAATGGGTAATAGTGGCAGGAGAAAAACATGTTTCCTCAGGCCCCTGTGCCATGGACAGAGACTGCGCCAAAGCAACCACTTGTGTTTTGCATCCTGGGCTTCTGAAGCTTCCCAAGAGGGGCTGTGGGTGCATGTAAGGGCTGTGAAGGAGCTGTGACATGGAGGAGGGTCCTGATGCTGCCAGGAGCTGACACAGGGCTGG